CCAGTGCTAACTCGAGGGGCGTCCCTCTGCAAATCCGGGCACATGGGAGTCTCTCCACTCCGCAGCGCCCCTTACTGAACCCACAATTGCCCTGCACTTCCGAAATGGTTTCTTTGAGCTGGACAGGCCGAAACACGTCTGCCCGCAGGCCTGTGTCAAGCTCACCCCCGATGGCGCAGAGGGGCCTCTAGCCAGAGGGTGCGGCTTCCGCCGGGCCGCGGCCTTCCTCAGGGCATGCAGGGGTGCCGCTCCTTCCCCCGCCCACGCGGCCAGCTTGCTGCCGGCCCTGCACCCGCCTGCCTCGCCAGCCCCTGGCACCCGACACCTAAAGGCTCCGCAGGGACTGGCACTGGGGCCCTGGGCCCACTCCCCTCTCTGCAGACCCTGGGACTTCTCCGGATCATTCTGGAAGCGCCGTGGCCCTGCAGGGGGCCGTGGACGGAGGTGTGGCGGGACGGCGCGCGGGCAGGGGCGAAGGCACCGAGCTCCACGTCCCTCCCCGCCCGCCCAGGAGGCGGCAGTGCCGGTGGGGGGCCCAGCAGGTGCAGGCGCGTGCAGGCAGGGCCGCGAGCGGCCGTGAGCACTAATGCTCGGGGGAGGGCTGGTGGCCGCACCCCCGTGCCACCAGGGAGAAGGCCAAGAAGACGCTGCTTTCTGCTACATGTCCCGTCCGTCCACACTCGCCACCAGCGGGAAAATACCGACACCGTTCACCGCGACACGTCCGTGCTGTGACTTCTTTCCCTGTTGGCATCGAGAAGGTCCCAGATTTCTCTGTGCAGGCAGAGAGGCGGCGCGTGTATGAAATGCAGAACAAGAGGCTACTGGGCAGACGGAAGGCGGCGCCCGGCCCACGGCCCGGCCAGGAGCCCCGCAGGCCGGGAGAGCCTGGAAGCCGCGATAGGCTAGCTTGGCGGCAGCTCCTGGTCCCCTCACCGCGTCTGCGCCTCACTCGGCCTGGGGCCGCCCCTCCGATGACGACCGGGCCGCCAAGCCATCGTCAGCTCTGCAGAGGCGCGAGCCAGGCTGCGCCCGGGCTGAGCCGCAGCACTGAGCGCCGCTGCAAATGCACGCTCCTTCCCACGGCCCAGACGGCTCTCCAGATGCGGGGACGGGAGCTGAGTGCTGAGGACGCGCGACCCGTCACCTCGCCGGGCTTCACTGGACCGGACTGCGGCTGCAGGGCCTCGCCTAAAGTGCCTGTTTCCTTGAATGAAAGCATCACGAAGGTGTACGCTCCAGAGCAAGACGGCGGTCACGTTTCTGGGGGCTCCTTCCTTCCCGTGGGGGTACGTTGACTAAAAGGCGGGCGAGAACAGTCAGTTGTTGCAAAAATGGACGGAACGTGACAAAGACAACGTCACACCGTGGCCGACTCGACAAGGACAGGCTTGCGGGCCGGACGTCACAACGGCAGGATTGGGTTTTGCTGCTTTTAAGAACGTGTGCTTGGGGCAGTGGTGGGGCGCGTGGCTTGAAATGCGGTCGAGATGTTTCCCAACGCCAGCTGTGACCTCCCGGCAACGGGCCACCGGGGCACGGGTCCCCAGGAACCGGGGCGCCCCAGGGCGGCCGCCGCGGGCTGCTAGTACTCATCGTAATTATTGAGATCCGTGAAGTAGGCGTTCGAATAGGTCTTCCCAGAGAGGTGAGGGTTGAAGTATTTATTTCTTTCCTCTAGAATCAGGTTGTTTTTGTTAAATGCCTGTAGAGAATAAAACAGAGGATTTACGGACACTCAGAAGCGCCATTTCAGACAGCGCAGAGAATCGGGAGTCAGCTACGCCGTGTAGCTCTCCTCAGGCGGCGCTGTTGCAGAATCTTTCTCACCTCAGTCTTTGCTTTACGAGTAGGGTGTGGTGGGCCCTTTATGAGAACTAGAGCTTGGTAAATCAAAGCCTCCGGGAAACCTAGAACCCCAGTGATGTCAGGTCAACACACACGTTGAGTGCTGCCACGTCTAGGGGAGTAAACACGAAAGCAGCGCCCTGACTCCCACAGGTGGGCGGGATGCGCCCTCTAACTGGGCTCACTTCAGCAAGTGCGCGGGGTTCGACTGAGCTGACTCCCTGGGTGACTGCTCCCTCCTTCTCGGACCCACGTCCTGCTGCGTCCACAGCCACGAAGGCTCCCTGCACTCGCACACAGCCGGTAAACACCGGCAGACCGAAAGGAAGATGCAGGGTGGAAGGCAGAGGCCAGTGGTCCAGGACTGGGCAGGGGAGAAAGTTCTGGAAGGGCTCACGGAAGTCCGCGGGCACCAGCTCCCTCAGAGCCCTTGGTCCTGCGGCGGCAAGCCCGCGTGTCTCCAGCGGACACTGGGTCTTGAGGAAATCCGACC